GAATTCCACTCATAGAGCTGAGAATTAATTCTCCTATGATCAAACAACCAAATTTGCTCATCCTGAAAAACAGACATGAATAAGGCAGGTCCTTCCCGAACCCAGATGAAAAACACCACTACTGTGCATAGCTATACATATCTATGCCCCCACCAGCCCACCTCTTTCCAGAAACATCAGAGGAGCATATGGCAGGTAGAGAGTTCTAAAGAACATGTGGGAAATCAATGAAAATAAGAAGGAAAAAAATGTATGCATGAAGCAGGAGCTCCAAGGCTTAAGGCTGGAACATCTGGCTCTCTGCTGGCTCAGAGACCTTCCTGGAGACACTTCCTGCAGGAAATCTGGAGTAAGCATATACAATAATAGAAAGAAATAATTTTCTGCACTACATCTTCCAAACAATAATTTTCACCACTTTTATTTTTTAATAGATATATTTGGAGAAGTTACTAACTCCAGATCCCACTACTTTTATAAGGACTAAAATTGCAAATAACCAAACACAAAAAGGAAAAAAAAGTAATATAAAAAAACCCCAAAGAAATAATTTCTATTTCCACTTCTACTAAATATGACAATTCAGCTGCAAATGGCCATTCTTCTGTCAGGAGACATGACCAGTCACAAGGAACACCTCTTTTGATGAAGTTATTACCATGGACATTGGAAATCCACAGAAGTTAAACAAATTTCCTCCATTTCTTCCCACATAAGATGAAATTTGCATTACATTTTTTTCTTTTTTGAAGCTTTATGGGATGCTTCTCAGATTCCCTGCTTCTAAAATGCCTCCAAGGGAAATCCAGTCTAAAAATAAAATCACATAATTACTTTATTGACAAAAGTCTGATTCTGAAGAGGATACACTTTTGTAACCATTGCCACAAAATGTAACCAAAAAAAATACTTTCAAATTCATCTCAACTCTAAAGATTGGTAAAATTAATTTGAGATGGGTTATTGTAACTTTTAAATCAGTCTGGCAGATCTTACCTGTCTGCCTCAGAGGCTAAGGCAGGACATTTGATATCACTACACCAAAACAAAGAAAGCATGTTCAAAATCTCATGTATGATCAAGTGTTCTGCACATCTCTTTTAGCTTATTAGTGAGAAGGTAGAATGATCAACTCAGGGAAACCAGTGAAAGGGCAGGTTTTCAGTTAGGTGCTCAGACCTCAGGCCAAGCAAATACACCAGTTTCCTCCTTCTCTGCTGTTTCCTTCTTGCTCTTCTCTCACATTCTCAGTTCAAAGGATGGGAGCCACTGCAGGTGTTGTGACCTTAGTGCTATGGGTAAAGGAGGATGCAATAAAGAATGGCTTCCACAGCACCAAGGGACCCCTAAGAACTTACTTACCTTCACCTCCCCTGAGCATGTCACATCCATCTCACCAAGAGTGAGGTTACTTAGAACAGAAAGGAGCATTACCCACTGGCATCCCTGCTGATACAGGTATTTCTCCCCCAAAACACAAAGGAATGTTATTTTCAGCTCCTTTGAACTTTGGTAAGAGACATCTAATAGTGCCATAGCTCTTCTCTAAAGTATAGGCACAAGACAGAAGTATGATAGCTGTGAAGTGAATAATCACTTGCAGACTGGTTTGTCAAAATGCAGTCTGCAATTTCACATATTTTCTCCTTTTTTCTTTTTCTTGAAAGGATATGTGGGGCAGAGGGGGCCAAATGGGAGGTGTTTTCCAAACCTGTGAATTCAACATTCAGCAGCCAAGCTCAAAAATTCCTGCTGTTCATGCAAAAAAAAAAAAAAAAGGACAAACAAGTCCCTTTCATGTCAGCTATGTCCAGCTGGAAATGTCACAGCTTTGTCACAAAAGAACAAAGCATGCCTGGTGTCTGTTCTTTCAAAAGGTCTCTTAATTCAAACAAAAGAAAAATATTCACATCTGGAAGGGGTCATAGGCAGAGGGCGGGAGTGGAGGAAGCAAAGTTCAGATGGCAAATCATAGCAGTCGCTGTTTGTCCAATTACAGTACTGCCTCTTCTGGCACTCACTGATCCCATTAAAGAAAGAAAGCCAAGAGTTAAAATAGCAATTTTATTATTGATAGACCCCACAGGGCCAGATAAGACACACCTCTTCACTTTTGCTCCATTCATCATGATGGAAAAGTCAGGCTGAATGAAAAGATCCCTTGTGACCAATAGTACCTCTAGCAATAGTACCTCTTTTTATTCCCCTCCCTCCTTTTTTAAATTAAAAATGCATATATACATTGTTATTTATGAAGTTCAAGATTCCTTCAAAGACCACAACCTTCGCTTTCAAACTATGTACATATTGAAATCCTGCCCTTTCCAATGGGTTTATTTGACCATCTGTTTCTGTAAAGATTAAAACCCCCTAGTGACTGCAGGGTTGAGAGGCTGTATCAGAACTGAGTCACTGGAAAATGAAAAATTAAATGTCTGGTGAGATCAGATTAAAGGAGAAGACACTCAACTTGAGAGTAGGACTTCACTGGTTAAGCAGGAAACAGCAGCAGAAGTTTGCATTACAGTCCTCAACTAAAAGTTCTCCTTCTTCAAAATGCAGTGCTTCTGAAGATGAAAAGCCTCTCCTAGGCTGCCACCTAGCTAGTTAATTTCTTACATTGTTTTAGGAGCTATTTTAAAAGACTTTTTTGCTCCAGCTCTTACTGAACTGACTCCTCCCTTTAGAGCTGGTATTTTGTCAGAAGTTTCAAGAGCGATAAAAACTTGCTGCCAAGTCCCTTTCTTCCTCACAATGTGTTTTATAACCCAGCGTGTAGTTTAGTCTGTCTAAACACTGCACTAGTACACTGCCATCAGTTTCCATGGAGATGATTAACCCTCCAAAGCCAGAAAGCTTCAGTGCACTTTTTGTCCTTTCCGCATATGAAGAACATGACAGCATTTACTAAAATCAGCCTACAGAAATATCACATTTTCCAGACAATCCTAGCAAATGTAAGAATTTGCTTTTGGTTCAACCCATCAGAGACTTCAAGCAAACTGGCATTCAAGTCATTTAGTCGAATGGGTTGCTCTTTCCCCTCAAGCTGCTCTTCCTTTGCATTGCTGTGATGTCTGAAGGCGTGAGAGCCCCAGATACATTAACTTATTGAACAAGTTTGTCTCAAAGCAAAGCCAAGGGTTGAGATCTAATGAAGAGCCCAGAAGAAAGGGAAGATGAAGGGAAGACTTTGAACTCAACCAGAAATCAGAGTAGAAAACAGAAAAACTTTGTGCCCTCAAGTTTAGGAGCATCATTATAGGAATCTTCATAGTTTATTCCTAGTCATGTATGTGCCTAGTTAAAGTACTCTGTCAGTGTGTATTCATTACAAAAATGCATTTAATACCATTTTTTGAACCAAAACTACCACTCATCTATTATAGCATGACCTAACCAGAGCAAGAAAGCAGTCCTTCTCCCAAAAGGCAGCTAATGAAGGCCACATGCTGCCATCAGCTTTTGCTGTGAAAAAACTGTTTACCAGACTCACTTTCACAGGAAGAACAATCTCCCTGGCAGTTGCCACTTAGGTGGCACACTTGTTGATCCAAAACTATGAAAATGGCAATGGAAGTTTGAATAATTTAGTTGCCTGGAATAATTTCCCAATATAAAACTATTTTATTAATGTTTTCCAGGCTATCGTTACTGAAACAAACTGTAACCTTCCCACCACTTTTAACATGGAATGGGTTTTTTGGCATTCAGGAGCAGATACACTATATAAAATAAACATGAATAACCAGGTACAACTGCAGTTTCTGTAGAAGAACTGAAGGCAAGGAATAGATATTTTGCCACTAACCTTGGCTAACTTGAAAAGGCTACTGGCAGCATTCACAGCAATGGGTGTTCTGCTGCAGTGAGAATTACTTTCTATTTGACTTCCATAGCAGTTGCCAGGAGGATTTCTTTGCAGACTCTACTCTCGGTCAGTACCATGTGGGTACCAACAGTGCAAAGTCCCTGGCCCCTTTAATGCTGTGCTACTAAGACAACCTACAGAGAAGGCAGGAGACTTCTTGGGCTTGTGCCGTCCCCTCACCACTGCTGAAGTGACAGCCTGTATTTACCACAACATGGACATGTGTCAAGGACACCACTAATTGACTTCATATACTTTGGCACAGAAGAGCGACCAAGCAACAACCATATTTTATTACCCATCCTTGGCTACAAGCAAGCCAACAAACTTGGGAACAGAGTCTCTATTACTTCCTCCTCAGAGATTTTTCATGCTGTCCTTGTCCCCAGCCTAAAGCTAGTGCAATGAAGAACCCTAGTGATGCTAAAACACATAGTGGAAAACATCAGTAAGGATCCAATGAAAGTGTTTCAACTTTCCCAAGAGCGGGCAGCGTGCCTCCCACAGCTGTGCAAAGACCATAGCACAGCATGCCGAAAGCCAGGAGACACTTGGTACCTGCTTCTCCAGCCCTTCCCAATTTTAAAAGAGAGCCACATCTCCAACCACCAGCAGCCACAGGCGGCTTTGTGGCTTGGGAGAACCCATCCGAATCCTACCTCCTATTTCTTGTCACCAAGTTGAGGAGGAAGTTTTGGCAGCCTACACCTCTAATTGTGTTTCTGTCCTGCTGTAGAAAACATGCCACTGTAACAATGATTGATTTCTTTAAGGTACTTCTGGGAAAGGCTGCTGCTGCTGCTGCTGCCGCGGGACAGTGCTTGGGAGGCCTGGGCGGGGGTCCGCCACCACACTCCTCTCCTCTTACCAACCCAGGCGTCCGCGGCAGCGGCGGAACCACAGCTGCTCTGGAAAGTCAGGTCATTGCATTACAGGTCTGCTGTGTGCGACAGATCACACTCTGTGCAGGTGTGATCCGCCTGCCGCGCCTCTGCCCCGTGCGTGACTGGCGGGACGCGGCTGCCGTGCGGTGACAGCCGCGATGCTGTCCGCACCCCTCGGGCTACCGGGAGCTCGCCGGCTCCCCCGAGCCCTGCCGGCCGGGCGGCTGCGGGGCGGCGGCACTTACCGATGTCGGAGTTGCAGAACGCGTCCTGCGGATGGATGGGGACGCAAGTGCAAGCCTCCACCACCAAGTCCCGCAGGCTCCAGCTGCACAGGAACACGACGAGGAAGCTCAGCCACGCCGTCATGTTGCCCCCGAGGTGCCTCCTCACTTCTGCGGAGCGGGAGGCGGCCGATGCTGCGTTCGCCTGACTTTATTCTCGCTCTCTGACAGCCCGTGGGTCGCGGCTGCCTGCCCTGCCCCTGTCTCGCTCGGCGGGACCGTGCAGGAGCGGAGCGGAGCTGAGGGGAGCCGAGGTGCGGAGCGCTGCGGACGGAGCGGCACCGGCGCGAGGAGTTATACCCGGCTCGCGCCGCTCGCGCTCCGGGGGCGCCGCCGCGCGCGGCCAATGGCAGCGCCGCATTACCTCATCGGCGCGAGCGCGGGGCGGGGCCGCGCCCGCCGCGCCTTATAGGGAATAGAGCGGGCGCGCGGCGGGCGGGGCCCCGGCCCCGGCCCCGGCCCCGGCCCCGGCCCCGGCCCCGGCCCCGGCCCCGGCCCCGGCCCCGGCCCCGGCCCCGGCCCCGGCCCGCAAGTGTCCGCCCGAGCCTGTCACATCCTCCCCCGGGCCGCCCCGCTCCGCTCCTCGGGACACCTGGAAAACGCAAGCGGGGCTTGCGGTGCGCTTGGAAAGCCCGCGCTGTTCCCCTTCAGTCCGGCTGGGCTCTCTGCACGCTGACTTCAATCGGGAGGCATGGCACACTGCTCAGGCTGTTCCAAAGAGCTTGCAGACAGACAGCGATCAGATAATGCACAAGTGCAGTGTGCTACTTCTTCTCCTCTCCCAACAGGCAGTAGAAGGAGGATGGGGGAAAGAAGAACAAGACTTATCTGAATTGTAAACCAGGTTTTTGCCCTGAATGTTTTTAATCCTGCTCCGATGCTCCTTCTCCACCACCCAGCAATTCCCCTTCTCTGGCCTTTCAGTCAGAAAAGGGTCATAAACTGCTAAAACCAAGCTGGAAAAAGCAGTATTGTATCTACCCAGGCACCCCCAGCATTTAATCTCAAAGTATATTTCAGCAGAGCAGCTTTAGTGGAATTTAGAGAAATGTCCTGTTTGTTTTGTTTTCCTTTATCCCCTTTCGGAGCCATAAATTTCCATCAGCTGTAGAAATGTAAATGTTATAGAAGAGCTGGGACTGTAAGGAAGGAGATTGCCAGCTGCATGATACAGACAGCCTTATTATCCTCCAAAGGGGACTGAGGGGTGATTAATCACAGTATCAAACCAGTGTATATAATGTCAGAGTACTTTCCACGGGGTTTACAAGACTTAAGTGCGTCTAGTTATAAATTATGCTGGTATTAAAGGCCAGGGACCAGCTGTCCTAAATTTCTATATAGTCAGCTAAGTCTTTAGATTTACAATTCTGTTCCATCTGGGTGAAGCACAGCCTTCCTACACCTTTTCTTTAATCATACTGTCCATATAAAACTAAAATCTCCTGTCTTATGGATGCACAGGCTTTTATTTGGAGCATTGGTAGGCAAAAAAGCTTCAAGATGGGTGTTGTCAGTAGGGATCAAGTTTGCAATGCCAGCAGTGGAAAACACAAGTTCCTATCCTAGATGTGACACAGACAACCTGTGTGGCAGCTTTGCCTCACTGTGCTTCAAATCCCTGTGTCATGGGATAATAGTGTTGGGAGCTGCTCAGGAATGTGCATTAGTGAACACACTGAAAAATCAGACGGTGCTGAGGTACTAATGGGTCCTGTAAGTATGTGTGAGACAGGGTATTAAATAGATCATTCCATTTAGACATGTCAGAGTCTGAATCGTTGGGCCCAAACTGCGATATGAGAAACCATACACAAATAATACTTCAGGTACTTGGGCTGTCTATTCAAGGTACTATGAGTGAGGCTGGGTCCATCAGATTGGGTGGATGTCATTTCAGCCTCACTGGGTGTAAACAAGGAACAACTCCACCGACCTCAGCAGAGTAACACAGAAGAAGAATGAGGTGTGTCTGGCTCTCTCATTTTTCCGTTGTTGTAAAAACTTTGATATCCACCAATATCATGATACACTTGGCCTAGCAACATCTCAGATCAATATCTGAGAGAAGTAGAACTCTGTCAGAACCTGACACTGGTGTAAATAAGGGAGAGTTTGGCCCACACACAACTAGATTATAATCACAGCTCCTGCACCACCTCCCTTCACTCTCTGGCCAAGTAACTCCCCTGAGTATGTTTCTTCATACCTATAATAACACCTTTCCTGTGTGTTCCAAGGACTAACATGCTAAATGCTTTGTAATAAGCTTTTAAGCTGTTGGGTGCTGTGTAAATGGTGAGAGTCTATGATACACAGATGCAGGACACATTCAGAGGAGACTGAAAAACAAAACTCCTCGATTTCTGAAATGGGAGAGGAAGGGGCCTAGAAATTACTGAAGTTCCACAGGGCCCTCCAAGGTATGGAAGTGGCTTGCTTACAGTGAGGCTGACCAAGCTAGTTAAAATGACACCAAGTTTGTGCTGATTGCAGGAACTGGCTCACTTCAGATATAATCCAGAGAAGCAATCAGATGAAAAGGAGTGACACAGCTTGATCCAAGGGCTGGGCACATCTTTTTGGAAGGGATGGGGTGCAGGCTGTCAGTATGGCAAGGCTTACCACTATCTTCTATACCACTGCTTGGGAGATGATCCAGAAATTTTTTAGTGCTTGTAATATCATTGCCTGGAGTAGAAGTACGTGTGTTTGGTCAGGGCTTAGCTGATTCACCTGCTGTTTTTACACTTAGATATTCTTTTTCAAACAGATTAATTTCTCTACAGTAGTAGGTGTGCAGGTTTTTTTAATCAGGACTGGATACTATACAGTAAGAACAATATTTATTTCCCTCTTGAAGAATACACTTCATGAGAGAAACCAGAATGTGTCATTTTTGTAAAGTACAGGTAAATCATACTCAGGAAAGTTCAGTATGGCCAGTGGCCTGCTCAAGGCCTTTGTTAAATAGTTTAATCAGCCTGTACACTCATTTTATCACCTGTAAATAGAGATATTCTATGTTATCATCTGATAATATCCATTAGATATCCAATATTAGCCTCTCCCCTTTAAGACCTACTGGCAAAGTGAACTCTGAAAAAGCCAGGCAAGGATTCTGAGTATTTATTTATATGAGAAAATATTGATAATGGTGTCAGAGTCACTGAGAAATTCAATGAAGGAACTGAAAGGAGAATTCTCTCTGAATTCTTCCTCTATGCCCTGTCTGCATGGGAAAAACTGCAAAGGGAAAAAAATAAGATAAAAAACTATCATTCCGCTTCTTTGCTCAGGTAAAACTTTAAACCATATATGGCCATAAAGAAGGTAGCATTGAAAGAAGGAGAAAATAGACACCTCGATCTTCATATGAGAAAATTCAAGTTCACGTTTGGTTAATGTCACCAAATAAAGAAATCTGTGTTATTTCAGTCTTCCATCAAGAACACACTGCTGAACACAATTAAGGATCTCTCTGCCTTACCGAGCAGGCACACAGCTCCATGCTGTGATCCTGTCGGATCCCGCAAGCCAAGCATGACTGGGCTGGGCCAATGGTTGGTGTGAAAGTTCCCAGGGAAAGCCGTGGCCCGCAGGTGCTGCTGGCCGAGCAGGGTGCTCCGTGCTGCAGGAATGTGCGCGGCAGTGCTAGGGGGCAGTGCGCTGCAAGAGATGCTTCCGACCTCCGCCGATGAAGCCAGCTCCCCGCAGTGCCTGAAGATCCCATCCTTTGGAAAAGTCAACATATGAAGCTGGGTGTCTTATGTAAATTTAAGGAAGGAGAATTACCTTCTGCTTTTATAGATACTCAGTTTATATCAGGTGCATGTTAACTTCATTTTCCTTCCACAAGACCCGCCTAGAACCAGGGACAGAGACTGAGATATGAACTAAAGGCATGTTCACTTGCCTTCTGATCACATTTCATTGTGAGGCATGCCGGCTGCTTCAGAAGGGCTTCATCAAACTACAGCAACTGCTGGCAAAAAACCCACATACCAGGAGGGTTAAGAGAAAGCGAGAGAGAGGGAGGCACACAGAGAGACAGACACACCCTACTATCACCAGAGAAAAATACCCTGACAAATGTCACATGTAGTGGTTGGTAACACTTCAGTTCCTCACCAGATCTTAGCTGGCTTAAACTGAGCTTAGTATGAATGAAATTAGGAGAATTCAACTGCAGTTCATCAGCCCTGCCACCTCCTTAACAACATACTAACTTTAAAAGCATCTGAAGTAAGGGCCCTTTTCTATTTTAATTTTTTGACAGCAAATTGACTTGATTCATGAGTGCAGTCTTGCCATTAGCATTCTAAATTGTCCACCTGACAAGTTGCTCAAAAGCATCCTCTTGTCCTAAAAACTTTTCTTGAAGTTTATGATCTTCATATCTTTTACACCAGCTCAGGATCATGCCCTGTAGGAGGTCTCATTGTTTTTCTGGTTTTATGCAACATGAGGGGAAGGGTAGGTGTTCTCAGAGCTATCTGATGTCCTTTCTACAGCACACTCCTGCCATCTCGTAGGATAGTAGAGAATGGTCATGCATTGTATTAGAAAAAGGTTCTCATATTTCTTGATTATCTGTTTCTTTTTCAGTAAATTCTTTCTTTTCTAACACTGTCCTCTGAGAATACTTTTTGTTTAAAATTTTTGTATTTCCCATGATTTGTATGCCTGAAACAAGCTGAAAAAACTCCTATTAATTCCACTGTTGTATCAGTGAACTTCATGTGCTATTTAAAATAAGAATACTCCTTCTTCAAAAATGTCTTTGATTCTATAAATACATACCAAAAAATTCATTTGATCTCTTTCTCTGAGGTTGCAAAGGAATTATGTCACCTTCCTGTCTGCAAGCCAAACATAAGTAACACTCCATCCCATTCCCAAGCTCTTCATTGCAGGTACACCATTCATTGCAGGTTCATCAGCTCTAACTGAAATTTTCATCAGTTCTATACCATGTTCAGTCTTCGAGGATCATTTAGAGACTGTGCCCACTGGGAGCACCCAGCCTGGTAGCAGACTGTAGGCACCACATGTTTCCAGGAATATTACATTAGAAAGGGTTGTGGAATATGAAATCACTCTCTCAGTAGTGTTGGGATCCTCCAGTCAGGCTGTGATGTGGCATCAGCTGCAGAAGAGTAACAAGGAAATATCTTTTAACAGCCTTATCAAGCTGAAAATGTTTCCTGCACATGACGGCGCTCTTTGGCCCAAATCCAGCAAAACACTAAGGCACATGTTCAACTTTAAGCACACAAGATGCTCTACTGAAGTCAACAGAACCATTTACATACAC